CCGTGAATTGGATGGACGGTTCAATAGAATTTAAATGTTGCAGCAGAATATCGATCTCATTTGTAGAAACCGCAGAGATGACATCATCGACGAAACGTTTCCAAAACGATAGGGACACCGGAACAGAGGCTAAAGCTCTTTGTTCGACATCTTCCATTACTAAATTAGCAATTACTGCCGAAACTGGTGACCCCATCGCTGTTCCAAAAACCTGTTGATAATAACAGCCCTCAAACACAAAGTATGTGGCGTTGAGACAAAAAGACAGAAGATCAATAATATATTCTACAGGCAAGGATGTTCTTTGTAACAAAGTGGCATCCTGTCTTAGTCTTTTTGCCGCAACCTTGATGGCAAGATCAACTGGGATATTTGTAAACAAGGAAACGACATCAAATGATACCAACACTTGATCTGCTTTAAGAGTTTTACCTCTTACAAATTCTGCAAAACGACAGGAATTTTTGACAGTGTTTCGGTATTTCCCACCACAGGAGACAAAATTTTCGCCAAAAAACTTGAAACTCCATATGTAGGAGAATTCACAAAGGACACAATAGGTCTCAATGAAATTTCCGGTTTATGGATTTTCGGTAAGCCATAGAAACGCGGAGATAGTCCATCACTGCTCTATAACTTTTCATATGTAGTCTTGCTGATAATATTGGATTTCTTCAAAAGAAGTAACTTGGCGTTTAAACCTCTTTGAGTCTTTCCAGTAGGATCAGACTTGAGAATAGAATACGTATTTCTGTCATTCAACAGTGAAAGAGCCTTCTCGCGATAATCATGTTTGTCCATAACAACAACGCAATTGCCTTTGTCCGCTGAAAGAATAACCATGTCCGGATCTTTTTTAAGAGCAAGTAAAGCTTTGAAAACATTCGAATCAATGTTTTTTGGAGGTATTTTGGCACGTCTAAGAATGCTACTGACCTCAGCTCTTACCAATCGCTTAGCATCATCGTCTAGTGGAAAAATTCCTTCTTCCACTGAAGCAATGATTTCGGCTGTTGGGATTCTGTTAGGTACAACCGCAAATTTTAGGCCGTGTTCAAGACCCTTCCTTTCCAACTCACTTAGCTCTTTAGATGAGAGGTTTTTAACCCATCTCTTCTTAAGATTCGAACCTGATTTATCAGATGGTTTCGTTCCAATCAGACGCAGCAATTTTTTGTCATGCTTCTCTCTCTGTTTGATCGACTCTTTGCGAAATTGCGAACGACAAAACTCTTCGATCCATAGGACTTCAGAGCAGTCGATCAAATCAGAAAGCTCGCAGAGTAAACGTTGACAATCAGAGCGCAGACGCTGTATAGACTGATGACAATCGTCTTAAGGTTTTGCAATAGTTCCATACATTCAAGGTGTCACAGACCAATCAAGAGAATCTTAAGTAATTGTAATATTAAGGTTGCCTTAAAACCCTATTTGACCTTAGGCCATATTTTCGCAAAGCCAAAAGATCCTGTTGAAAAAAATCAGAAGACTCATGCTATATATTCTATACCATGCGGTGACTGCGACAAAGAGTATTTGGGTCAGTCTAAGCGCCAGTTTGGTACACGGCTAAAAGAACATCAAAAGGCTGTTTCAACTTTAGGCAAGGGAAAATCAGCTTTAGCCGAACATGTATGTTACACCAAACACGAGATTGCGTGGGAAAACTCTAAAGTAATTACCACAAACAATCGCTATGGTCAAAGACTTTGCCTAGAAGCGTGGCATATAAATATGAGTCATCATGCTTTGAATAGGAATGACGACGCCTATTTGCCAGAGGAATATATGCATCTTCTTGGCAGGTGACGTCATCTCTTGGGTATTTAAGAAGCCACGATCGCAGTTTTAGATCACCCCTGATGAAGACACTAGACTGGAGTGTCGAAACGTTGGGTCTTGATTACAATTCGACTGGGCTTTGTAATCATTTATTTAAACCAGAGTAGCGAGCGAAACATGATTGATATACCTGGTTGCAGTAAACGAACAAACTTTATAAGACAATGTTCGTTCATCATGTACATGTTCGATGTCTACATAACCAAATCAAACTGTATTAAAAATGTGCTCAACTAAAAAAATTTATAAACAAATTTACGATACCAAGTTTGAGCAATCGTTGATGTTATTTATGGACTCGCAAGTTGTGATCAACACTAGACCATACTGGTATACACAACTACCGAACTACGCTTTCCACTTGACAGGTTTAAATTGCTGAGGAGATTGGAAATATTTGCCTGATATGACGGTGTTGTCAAAACATTCTTAGTCGGAGACTCGGCATAATTTTCAAGCTTCTAGATAGCATTTAATATGGCTATATATTTTAGTAAACACGAGTCATTTTAAGCCCGTTATTCATTCTGACCGTATGGCAGCGAAACGTAGCCTACTTCATTGTTCCGACAGCATTAAAGCAAAACTAATGACTTAATTATAAATGCAAAGGAATTTCCATAACATTTTCCATTTACAAATGAGGTATGCTTGGTAACCAGGCCAGGGACCACCTTTTTGAAATCAGGGACCATTTTACCGAAATCTGCTAGGCTCTCTCGCTGAAGCGTTCCGCACAGCACACCCAGGCATAAAACTTTTAAGACTTATTTAAATATATCAAAGCAGCGAATAGAGAGAGAGAGCCTGGGACTAGGCTGTCGTTTGTTTACTCTTTTTCGGCCGTATACCAATGGATTCTCTTCATTTTGATAGTATTTTGATCCGGCAATCAGTCAGTCATCATTTGAGATGACGACGTCTTGGGTTGTAGCACTTGAGGCGTGCGCATTTTGAGTAATTAGTATACATGCAGTCATAGTGAAAATTGACGTCATTAGGGTATGTACACTATAAGCATTGTGTGCACTAAGGGGATGTATGGCACTAAGGGTTGTGCACACTAAGAGTAGCCCTCGTGCAAGCCCACCGAGGGAAGAATAGTTAATAGTGGGCCTGGCTAACACTTAGGGAACGAAAACAACCACACACTAATAGACTATAGTTGAGCTGTCAGAAATGTATCAACTTGAACAACTTATAGAAAGCCCAACACGGGTTACCAGTAACACAAAAAGCTTAATTGATTTAGTATTCAGCAATAAACCTGACTTGATTATAAAATCTAGGGTAGAGCATGTAGGAATTAGCGATCATAGTACGGTTTTTGTTCATAGGAAAATTTCTGTACCACGTAAACTCACCAAAAATGGTCAATACCAGACAATATAAGTACTACAACATTCCATTATTCAAGTCTGATTTAAAAGATATATTTTCAACCAGTGTTTTTAATAATGAAAATCCGAATGATCTTTGGTATGATTGGAAAACAAAATTTTTAATGGTGGCTGATAGTCACGCTCCACCAATAAACAGGAGTGAATATACGCCATGGGTTACTGATGACATAATGAAACATATGCGACATCGAGATTTTCTCAAAAAGAAAGCTGTTCAGACAGGCTCCCCCAGCATTCACCAAGCACATAAACAGGCACGAAATTCACTCTCCAGAAAGATTAAATCAACTAAGACAAAATATTGCTTGAAATATTTCAAAGACACTTCCAAAAACCCAAAAGAAATGTGGAAAACGATTAACAAAGTAGTCAATACAAAATCTAAGACGACAGACATCAAGGAACTGATCATAAATGCATGATATAACTATCACCGATGCACGAGATATAGCAAACACCAGTGGCGGCGCCAGGGGGGTGAATGCCCCCCCCAATTTTTTTTTTGGCCCCCCCTCCCCATTTTGCCCCCCCTCAAAAACATTTATTAGTCACTGAGAGCAACTAAAGGCTACACAAGCGTTTTGTCGTTATCGGAAAATATATGGCTTATAAGTTGTCATTATATACTCATTAGTGAATGCGCTTTTACATGGATGAAACTGTCTTTTACAGTTTCACTATTAGTTTGTAAATCTCTGAATGGTAAAACTTGCCAATACTCCAATAATACGTTTCAGAAAAGACAAAAAAGCTTTAGTTTTGCAAATTTAAATTCTCAAACGTGTAAAGGCCCACACAGACCGGACGCGATTCGGCAACGCGACGCGAATTTTCCAGTTTTCAAAAACAAATAAAACCGTCAACGGATAAAAATTTTACAAGGTATGCAGCCAAATAGCTAAAATTGCTAAGTGGTTCCGAATATTTGAAAAACAATGAAAAATATTAAAATTAAATATCATTGAAAACTGAAAATTCGCGTCGCGTTGCCAAATAGCGTCCGGTCTGTATGGGCCTTAAGGCACTAATAAGATGAAAGTATCACGAAATTATTTGAATAAACCACATCGCATATATGGGGGCGATATTCCTGGGGCATTCGCCCCTCTGGGGGGGGGCGATATTCCTAGGATATTCGTCCCCCGGGGGCGGTATTCCTAGGAATATCGCCCCCTTTTGAGAGGGGAGCGAATCTCCTGGGGGGGGCAAAAGTCCTGTGACAACGGCATGGGCAAATAGCAGTACCTTTTTAAAAATTCTATCTTGCCCCCCAAATATGAGTTTGTCCCTCAAATCCCCCTCCCCCAAATTCTGAGGCCTGGTGCCGCCACTGGCAAACACCCTTAATGATCACTTTTCGAAAATTGGGCTTCAATTAACTTAGCTAAGAATATTTCTAATTTATCAAAACCGGCCGATAGCTATGTATCTGTTCAAGACACTGAATTTCAATTAGAGATAGTAAATGAATATGATATGATGAAAAAACTCAAGAGTATTAAAGCATCGAAATCCACTGGACATGATAGGATTCCTCCTAAGTTAATAAAATATGCAGCTGAAAAAATCGTTGCTTCTCTGACTCAGATCTTTAACAAATCAATCAGTACTGGTATTTTTCCAGATGATTTGAAAATTGCAATTGTCTCACCAATTTATAATTAAAATAGGAAATAGAAATGACTGCAATAATTACCAACCAATATCTGTTTTGTCAGTAATTGCAAAAGTTTTCGAAAAATTAATATTTCAACAACTTTCTGCATATCTAGAATGCAACAACATTCTAACAAAACAACAAGCAAGTTTTAGGAAAAAACAGCCAAGCGGCTACTAGGGGCTACAAATAGTTGGTATATAAACATGGACAAAGGATTATTGAATGGAGTTATATTTTTGGATTTGAAGAAAGCATAGTTGATTGTGTAGATCATGATATTTTGATTAACAAATTATCAATGGAATTCACGGGTTAACATTGGACTGATTTAGATTGTATTTGAGTAACAGAAAACAAATCTGTAAAAGTATTCAGGCAATGTCGAGGCAATGTGCTATAACATGCGGAGCACCACAGGCCAGGGGTCGAATTTGGGGCCATTATTATTTTTAATCTATATTATTGATTTGCCAAAATGCATGGATGGTGCTTCGACAATTAAGCATGTTTGCTGATCATACTATCTAACTACCATAGCCAGATCGATTGACCAATTCAAGGAAAATCTGAATAAAAATTTGGAATGTGTATATCAATGGCTAATTAGCAACAAATTGACCCTAAACAAAGATAAAACAGAATACGCGATAATAGGCTCAAGAAGTAAACTAAATAGCATCGATCGGGATCCCTTAATAAAACTAGCAAATACAAACATCAAACGTGTAAAACAATGCAAAACCTTATGGATCGTTGTTAATGACCAGCTTTTAAGGAAAGAGCATGTTGACAGTGTAATAAAAAAAGTTTCTAAAGGATTAGGTATGCTAAGGCGACTTAAGCAGGTTGTGCCAAAAGAAATTTTGATCACAGTATATAAGTCGTTAATTCTTCTATACTTTGATTATTGTAGCATGGTCTGGGATAATTGTAGTAGTTACAGTACTTGCTTGATAATATGCAGAAAATGCAAAACAGGGCGGCAAGAATAATTACGGGTAAACCATACGAGATCCGATCAAGAGATCTGTTGAGAGAACTTGGTTGTCAAACACTTAAAGAAAGGAGAGATATTCAGAAAGTTACACTTATGTTTAATGTTAAAAATAAGGAAGTGCCGGAAAATATGGCTACTGATATGTTCAGTTTATCTATAATAATGAAAAGTATCAATAATATGTGATAATAATAATATGTGACTTTTGCGAGAAAGTGAAAACCGGCTTATGACTATCAATCGTCAAAATGGTTGCTTCGTCCCATTTTATACGATTTTCTTTTCACACAGATCACGACACTTTTGTATATAAAAAGAGCGTGTGAATTAAACAAGTCACATATTATTAGCAATAATAATATGTGACTTTTGCGAGAAAGCCGCGATAATTTATAATTAATAACGAGATAATTCATTTATATTAATTTATTTAATATTTTAACAAGTAAGGATCATCTCTTATCGAACCAGTGTTACTACAGGAGGAAACCTAAATTAAACTAACTTTAATATAATATTATTTTTTCGTCCCATTTTTTCTGTGTGTGTGAACTTATGACTATCAATCGCCAAAATGGTTGCTTCGTCCCATTTTATACGATGGTCGTAAGTCCGGCCAAGTATGTTTAGCCACAGCAGATTTATCTTGCTCGGCTTTCTCGCAATTCGTCTTGTGTTCCTTAAGACGTACTGAGAGATTTATTAATAACATATTAATTTAAAAATATGATGTTATTTTATACAACACCGCGGAAAAACGTCTGCGCATGCGTCAACCTTACCTGTAATAGTATTGCGAACTTGATGAGAAGCTGTTCCGAACATTTCCGAAGGCTCAAAATGGCGGTAAAAAGGAGTGACTTCATTGTGCGTCCTTACAGCCAGATTTTGAGTGCAAAAATAAACATGTCATTCTAAAAACTAGGAATAAATACAGCCAGAAGGTTCAAGAAATTGTATTGTACAAGAACGTGAACTAAAGGTGATTGTTGACAAATTTATCGTCTGAAACATTTTGTTTATCAACTAAGCAACGACAATTTCCGAATTTTCGTTTGAGATACATTTTTTTAAAAAAAACTATGTCGCCAAATATAAAAAATTTGCGTGTTCACAATAATTAAACTTTAGGATTTATTCTACAATTTGAGTGGGTTAAAAAGCTTAACTTTTCGAGAGTTTTCTTAACTTTTTAGTTTGAATTTTTGTTTTGAATAATTCTGCAAAAATTTTCGAAGTCGTGTCCGTTAAAATCAACAATTTTTTACATGAATATATTTCATTTGAATAACTTTAAATGCCAGGACACTTTCAATTAATGTCTAGTCTACCCATTTGCTATATTTTCTCGTTTGTTTTACTAATTTTTGACCAATTAATAAGCATGCTTTTAGAAATTGAATTTCAAATTCCCCGCCAAATTTTCATAATTTGGTGCATGCACAGACGTTTTTCCGCGGTGTTGTTTGTATTATGAAAAGTGGGCTGCTTTGTGCACATGCGCAGATCGGACTGTAGATCACCTTTAAAATGTACAAATTTTAATATATTCTTTTCCAAAATATACATAGTAATTACTGTATATTAAAATGTACTACAAAGTTCATTATAAAAACGATTTATAATAAAGTAAATTTACATTGCTACGTTTCATTCTCCATATTTATAAACGTAATAACACGTGTTTGAAGTTGCGAAGAAATAAACATGAATCGGAGTTGTTCGGAAATTACCAAAACATTCGGAAACGCCAGTGTATAAGTAACTCGAACTCGAATCCAACTCGATATTTCGGGATTCCCAAGTATACTATAAACACGAGTTTCGAAGAAGTAAACAAGAATCGGAGTTGTTCGGAAATTACCGGAACATTCGGAAATACCGGTATATAAATAACTTGAACTCTAACTCGAAGTCTAACTCGAAGTCCAACTCGAACTCAACTCGAATCCAACTCGATGTTTCGGGATTCCCAATGCAAATGGACATGAAATGGTCCATTATGCTATTTATAATTTCCAGACTGAATGTTGATTTTATCAATAAAAATGACATTAACGGTTCCTATTGGATAGATTTAATTGGATATAAGTAATGTTTATGCAAAGGCGGAGCCAACTTGACAAGAGCGAAAAGTGGGCGTATTTCGTTTCTTGATGTGTTGTGGACCAGTGGCATAACGGAGGAAGAGGGGGCCCTTGGGCATATTTGGTGTGGGTGCCCCTGTTGACTGTTGTCATTGTTTGACTGAGATATTATATTTATATTGAATATTTATAGAATGTTCTGGAAAATTCCGTGTCTATAACAACAACAACAATAACAGTCTCCAAAACATGTAACAACTAATATAGGAATAACTTTTGGAGGCTTTATTATTTAGCGTTATTAATTTTGCATTCTCCCATTGATTCTTAACCTGCATTTTTTACGTTTTCTAACTTTCTGAGCGATAGGCCGTGGCTGATGGGGCCCCTAACTGTCGGGGCCCCTTAGTTTTTGAACTAACCCTACCTAACGAGCGTTACGCCACTGGTGTTGTCGGCAGTCCCTCCTTTGTCCCGAGGGACTGCTCGCGGTCTAGTCGAATACTTTGATACACATTTTCTTGGATGCACATTCGACTCTCTGAATTGGCTTATATTAGGACTTGATCGAGAAATTAGCATTCCAGTGCATGTATTGAGGTGATTAGTGCCGACTTACCAGCAATAAACTGTTTAAACATTTCAATTCCTTCACGTCTGTTCTTACGTATCTTATTA